GTTCCTACCACTGTCCCAACACAGGACTCCGCTTTGTGGTGACAAGGGCCGTGACCATCGAGATTGGATTCTGTTCCTGGAGCCAACACCTGGACGAGACTCCCTTGCAGCACAGTCACATGGTGGCTGGGCCTCTGTTTGACATCAAGGCTGAGCAGGGAGCTGTGGCTGCTGTGCACCTCCCTCATTTTGTGGATCTCCAAGGTAACCAAGGGAAGCATAAGGAGTAGAGGGGTGGTAATGGGAGGAGTTGACAGGTCACATAGCAGACAGTAGAATGGTGGTGATGTGGAAAGGTCTCATGGCTTACTTAGCAGGGCAGAGCAGGTTATGAAGGTGGACACTGAGATGTTTTGTTGTCCCTTCTCATCTGATATATCTTCTTTGAAGCACATGTCTCCCAGCCTACTGACCTTATTTCTGCTTTACCTGAAGGAGTCCCTGAGTGGAATCCAGCTCAGAGCAGAGGAAGATAGTGTTTGTTCATGGTGATAAAGATTATGAGCAGCTCCAAAAGTGATCTTAAGAGGGAAGATACAACAGCTGACGAAGTCATAAAAAAATAAGGTAGAAATACAGACTGTTCCAGGTTATATAAGATCCATGAATAAAAAGGTTCACTGAATGACCTCTCAGGATTCTTGCAAGATCTTTGACTCAGGCACATTGCCTGGCCTCAGCTGCTATCTGAAACTGTGCAGCATGACTCAGTGACCCACCAATGTAGCATCTTTCAACCCCCCAAAAAACAAAAAAACCTATAGTGATGACATTGCCAGGTTCTGTTGACAGTTTGAGATGTGGCCACCTTGGACCAGAGCTGTATGATGTGCTGACCATGGGAAACACTTCCTTGCATTTACATTTGTAGAACAGGGAACACCATCACTTCAGGCTTTCTGCCTTTAAATGAATGTGGATCTTCACAAGATGAGTCTGTGAAGAGTGAGATTGTCCCTCGGGACCCCTTTCCTGTTGTCACCTGCTGCAACCTTCCCCTCAGTGACGCTGCTCTCTCACAGCTACAGCGGGTTGTGTAGAGTCATTCTGGGTGTTTTCTGTTCTGAAACTCCTCCTGCCAAATTAGTCCCTTGTGTTTAAATTCATCTTCACTCATATTCAGCACATTAACACAATGCATCTAGATTCCTGACAAAACTGTTGGATGAATGGATCCTTTCACAGTTCCCAATGGAGACCTTGCTGCTCTCTGCAACCTCACGGACTGGCCTCCACTGTCTCTCTCAGCATTCTTGTCTTCCTGCTTCCACCCGAATGTCCCCTTAAGCTCTCTTCTCAGCATGGAAGTGCTTTCCTAGTCCTAAGTACAAAACTCTTCACATTCCAGCCACAAACAGATCCAAAGCTGAAGAACCACATGATTTGGTTTATTACAACAAAAACCTGAATCCTGGTATCAATTTTCTGTCCAGGTTTACTTTACGTATAGCTCAAACAAAACACTTGACCAAAGAAACTTGGAAAAGGAGGATTTGCTTTGCCTCAGAGTTAAAGGAATAGTTACTCATGACATAGAAGTCTGAGAACATAGAGCTTGTGTCACCTGGTAACTTGTGTCAACAAAGTGAGCAGAATGCTTGTGCTCATGTGACCTTCTCCACTTTACACATTCCTGGGTCCTAGTCTATACAATGGTGCTACATACAGTGGATAGGTCTTCTCTACTCAATTGATCCAATCAAGACAATCTCCTCCCATCATCCCCTGAGGGCTGTATCCAAGTTGAATCTAGATTTCATCAAGTTCACATTTGACATTAACTATTCCAGAGATCCATCCAGCTTGTTCAGTGAACAAAGGTACCCTGGGTCTCTTTCATAATGTCAAAATTCTATTCTGCCAAGTGATCAGATTAACAGTGTATGTTATCATGGCCTGACTTTAGTGTTAATGGCTTGCTATTTCCTCTGATCTCCAGGCAAACTTTATTTATTAACATGCAAATAAAATATCACCATCTTTCAGCATAAATAAAATAAAATAAATAATTTTATTTATAAATAAAATAAATTTAAAAAAAATTCAGCATAAATAAAAGAGGACCACAGTCCTCTTTCATAACAGCAAAACTCTATTCTGTAACTAACAATTTAGAGGAAACTGCCAAACCCAAAACACTGAAGCTGGTGATGGCAGCCTCTCTAAGAACCTCCTGGTTGTGAAGTTTCTGACAGTAGCCCCTTTGGCTGTATTCTTTATAGCATCTTGGACGAGACCATGAAGAGCCTCCACTCCACTGTAAATGCTCCCCCATCAGCTAGACAGGACCGAGGGTAAACTGCCTCCAGTGAGGGTCAGTCTGCATGACTCTCAGTCTGGCAACAACTCACACTCACCCTCCCTGGCATGGTGATTGATAATGAGGAAACAGTTGATAGTTCTGCTGTGCTGTCATTGGACATTAATTAATAAAACTTAAATTTTGGTCATAATTTTTCTCATGAACATCAAAAAATAAATACAAACTAAATGGAAATCATAACGAAAGCAACTTATAGAAGAAAGATTTTATAGGGACTCACAATTTCAGAGGCTGTGTCTGTGACAGGGAGCATGGCAGGGAGCATGGTAGAAAGCAGGCAAATTGGCACTGGAGCAGTAGCTGAGAGCCTGTGCACAAGGAGGAGGGAGAGAAAGAAAACTGACAAAGGCAAGAGATTTTGAAACCTCAAAGACCACCAGTGATAAAGCTCCTCCAACCAGGCCACACCTTCTACTCCATCTCAAATAGTTCCACCAAATACAGGGGCCCATTCTCATTCAAACCACAACAATCTTCTAAATCATAGAGTGCTATTTTTCCAGCCTAGCATAGATCAATATGAACATTAATTTTACATCTCTTGAATCTGTTCTTTTACAGAGGGAGAGGTAGACATCTCCTGGTTCCATGTGGCCCACTTTCAAGAACATGGGATGGTCCTAGAAACCCCAACCAGGATAGAACAGCATTATGCAGTGCTGGAAAACCCAAACTTCTCCCCAATGGGAGTTCTAATGAGAATGATTCCTGCTTTTGGACACTTCATCCCCATCACTTCCATCACATTGATCTACTATCACCTCAATCTCAAGGATGTGACATTTCACCTTTACCTGGTCCCTAATGACTGCACCATTCGGAAGGTAACACTGAGGACCACAAAAGTGAGTCCAGAGTGGGCTGAGAGAAAACTTGAGATGCAGCTAGTGAGCTCCATGGAGAGATTCTTACTGGTAGTGGGGATACAGTTCTATAAAGGGAACCCATGGGCATATGTGCGTGCGTGTGTGTGTGTGTGTGTGTGTGTGTGTGTGTGTGTGTGATTCTTCCCTCTTCTTGGCCCCCCTCACATCAGCATTTCCCCCAAATGGCTTTGATGCCCATTTACTAATTCCTGCACAGCTTTCTATAGCCTCTTTCCACCCATCAGAAGGATGGGAATTCCCCATGCACAATCTGTAGCCAACACCCTTCTTCTGTGGCAGCATCCCTGTTCCCACAATGAATGTGACAGTGGCCAATAAGTCAATAATCTGTGTTGCAGAATACCAGATATAAGAGTGTCTAGGGTGTGTCACCACCCCACCCCACAAAAAAATCTACTAAATGATCATCTCACCTTATTCAGAACAGATTTGTGGGCCAGAAATCTAGATAAATCACTGTCTGCAATGTTCCCTAGGCCATTGATGATGAAGAAATGAAATTCCAATATGTTCGAATAAACAAGCCACCTCCAGTAGACTCTCTTTATATTGGTTCCCGCTACATTGTGTCTGGTTCTGAGAAGCTGGAAATCATCCCAATGGTGAGCATCCAGGTGTTTGCTACTATTCAAGTTCGGATGGCAGGCTTAGGAAACCTGTGGGGCAGGTTACAAGGCTTTAACAGCAAACTGAGATTCAGGAGAAAACAATTGGGATATGGGATGAGCAAGAATACATCCAAGTTAGGCAGAAAGCAATTTAAGGGACCGAACAGGAATACAGAAAGCCTGGAGAATTGAGAAATTAGATTCAATATGGCAGAAAGAAGGGCCCAGCATAACATGGAATAGAGAGCAAGCCCTGGCTTAGGCTGTGTGAACAGGACTTTCAGGATGAGCTCTCACTCATCCTTAGGTGTTAGTGTTTGAATCTGAAAGGTCTCCTGCAGGTATAAATGTTTAAATACTTGCTCCCCAGACAGTGGTAGTATTTTGAGAGTTTGTGGAAACAAATATGTGAGGCCTGGCCATTAGAAACCGATCAATAGTGTTAGGCAGTCAAGGTTGTAGCCATGCCCTGCTCCAACCTCATGGTATTATTTGCTCATCCCCTGGGATATTATGAGCCCTGCCATAATCTCCTGCCACCAAGAGTGGAGCTCCAGCTTACATGCATTTCCCACCATGAAACTAAACAAGATAAACCCTTCCTCAAGTTGCTTCCTGTGAGGTTTTTGTCAAAGTGATGAGAAAAGAAACAGCAAGATGGGGTCCTAGCTGGGTCCTTAACCTTCTGAATGTGTGTTCAAAGGCTGTGGGTTACCTCAGTACAAAGACAGCCAGTGTCTGATGTGGTGTGCAAGATCAAGAAAGTATGGGGGTGGGGACAGCTCTCCTTCACAGGACGAGTAGTTCATTCTCACACAGTAATTCTTTCTCTCTTCAGGAACTAGAGCTGTGCTACCGGAGCCCTGGAGAATCCCAGCTCTTCTCTGAGATCTATGCTGGCCACATGGCTTCAGGGATTAAGCTGCAAATCAGAGACAAGAAGCATATGAATCTCATATGGGAAGCCTTGTTGAAACCAGGTAAAATTAGTTTAAGTCCAGATACTCCAAAGGTTGAAGAAAGGCAATGAGTGGTGAAAGGTATATTGTCATTAATTCCTGGTGTCATGAAATAGTGAGATTAGTTATGTGTCTTTTGCTAGATCCAAAACAGGTGATCTGACCACAGTTTAAACTATGACGCTGTGTTAGTCAGCTGTTCCCCATTGTGAGAAAATATGTGAGAAAACAACTTAAAAATAGAACGGTTTGTATTGATTCATGGTCTTAGAACCAAATTTCAGTTCATGGTCAGCTGCCTCCATCTCTTTGAGACTGAGGAGAGACAGGATATCATTGAGTCGAGCTTGTGAGAGAGGAAGCCGTTTGCCTGGTAGGTCTGAAGTACGGAGGGGAGAGGCAGTTAGAGTGAGAGCTAGGAAGGAGAAGAAGGGGAAGAGAGGGGGAGAAAAGGGAGAGGAGAGGAGAGGAAAAGAGAGGAGAAGAGAGGAAGGAAAGGAATGAAGTCCTTGCAAGATGTTCTCTTCCAGGACATCCCTCTAGTGCCCTGCTTCTTCCAATGGACACTCATATAGTTTCCATTCTCAGTACTCACATTAATAACTGCATTAGTGTATGGTTTCATTCATATTCACAGCCCTCAGGACCAGTCACCTTTGAATACGGATTCAGGACTAATCCTTCAACACATCTGCATTATCATGGAACACATCATATCCAAATTACCACACATCCTAAAGGCCCATTTTCTCAGTCCTCTGTCCTGATTTCCTCCCCCATTACTCTTGAAATGACAGACTTTGAGATGTACAAATCATCTGGTACCAGTTCACGTAATATCTCAGCTTTAAAATGTAGGGAATTTTGCTAATATGAGATACTCAATCTCAAATCCTTACAAAATTTTAAATGAATTTTGTGTTTTGACAATTTTATACATATGTACAATGCTTTCTAGTAACTCCACCCTAAACATACATTCTTATCTCCCTCCTACTCCTGCCAGCCCCTCCACTTTAATACAAATTTCTTCCCCACATTCAAAAAGTCTTGCTTTGTGTCCCTCAGAGTTTAATTGGGACCATCTGTGTACGCATGGGTTTTACAGTAAAAATCGAGTGAGCTCAAAAGCAGGGATACAGATGGATTGTATACCTCCCTTGTCCCCATCATCTACTATTTGTCAATAGTTTAGTAGTAAGTGGTACTGTCCCTGGGAGCTGCTTCCCCATGTCCAGCTGACTGATGGGCAGGCTTCTACTTGTGTGGGTCCAGAGACAGTAGGTGCAGGTGATATGAGTTCATGATGGCTCTGGTCATGTCATGCTTAGAGGACAACACTTCACAGCCCTTCTCCATATCTTCTGTTTCTACATTCTTTCCACTTACTTTTCCACAATGTTCCTAGAGCCTTAAAAGTGTGGTATAAATACCTACTTATAGGGATGAGTAATCAACCATGCCTTATTCTCAGTATCCTACATAGCTGTAGGTATCTGCACTAACCTCCATTCACAGCAAAGAGAGGCTTTTCTGATAAAGGCTGAAAGTAGCCTTTGTCTGCTGTATAAATACTGATATTTAAAAGGGCATTGATACTTCGTCTGCCTAAGCATCAATACTAGCTTCTCTCAAGGGACTAAGACCTCCACAGATATGGGTTTGCTTGTTTTACTAACTCTATAGTGCTAGCGATGGATTCTATCTTGAGGAGTGGGACTGAAATTTAATTGGGAGCTACAGGTTGCTCTCATCATATTTGTGCCACTGTTGCAGCTGTGGGACCATCTTTCCTGAAGGTTTTTTAAAGATCATAGTGTACAGAGCTGGGTTAGACTCTGGTTGATGACTTTCCTTCTTCAGCAGCCTACATAACACTGTGAAACCTTAGCAACAGCAAGGAAGCTTCCCACACAGTTCCAGCTTCAATTATCTATACCACGTATCCATGATGTATGGTGTCTTCAGCCGTAAGGCCTTATCCACCAGTTCTGATGGGGAACAAAGAAGAATGACATGCACCTGTATTGTCTTGGGAACCTCCAGGGCCCCCCTGACCAACAGCTCCTATGGAGATATCTCACTCCTGGAACTGGGTTTTTGTTTTGAAACTCACTGCTGCTAAGACCTCCCATTTCAAGCACTGTAGTCCTGAATTCAAATTCTTCTGTGCTTTTTATATTGGGTTACCAAAGACAGGTTTCCTTCTAACTTTTAAATGCTGTCTTCATTTTTAATACAACCTCCCACCATCTTCCTTATCTCCTCCATCCCCCACCCCACTTCTTGTTTGACCATTTCTGACCCCAGCATTCCCTCTCTTCTCTCATGTTACCTCTACCCTCATGACACTTCTGCCCTCCTTTCCCCCCTTAGGCCCTGCCCCATTTCTAGTGTTCTGGTTACCAGGGCACACCATGTTAACACCACAAAACTAAAGACTCCAGGACAGAAATCGATGTGATAGATATGGTGTTTTCTTTCTGGGCCTGGGTTATCTTGCTCGATATTTTTCCTATTTTGTATGCTTACCTTTCATAATGTCATTTTCTTCACACCTGAAAAAATTTCCATAGCATACATGTGCCACATGTTCATCTGTTGATGGATATCTAGGCTGATTGCATTTCCTAGCTACTATGAACAGGACATGATTGAGTGAGCATAGTTGTGCAAATATCTTCATAGTAGGATATAAATTCCCTTAGATATATTACTGGGAATGGTAAGGCTGGGTTTCGTGGTAGTTCTAGTTCTTAAGAAGCCTCCAGGTTGACTTCCACAGTGGCTGCACTAGTTTGCACTCCCATAGGCAGTGTATAAGTGTTCTTCTTTCCCCACATCCACTCCAGCACTTGCTATCATTTGTATCCTCAATATTGGACATTCTCAAGAAATGAAATGGAATTGTAAGTAATTTAACCTGCCCTTCCCTAATAGCTAAGTGTTTCCTAACCTGTGTGTTTTTTCCTTTGAGAATTCTCTGGTTTCTCTTATGGCCTACTTTGTTGTTGGGTTATTTCCTTGGAATTTGGCTTTTGAGTTCCACATATATACTAGTTCCTAATCTTCTGTCAGATCTTAGCTGGGAAATCGTTTCTCCCATTCTTGGCTGCATCTTCACTCAAATAAGTTTCCTTTGCTATGCAAAACTTTTTTTATTGTCGTGAGATTTGATTTAGCAATTGTTGGTTTCATTTCCTTATTCACACAATCCTTCCTTATGCTGCTATGTTGAAATGTTCTCCCTACATTTTTCTCTGCCTGGCTCAGGGTATTAGGTCTCACATTGAGGTCTCTGGTTATTTGGAGTTGATTTCTAAAGGAGAGGTATAGGCACCTGGTTTAGTTTTTTCCATGTGTTGCTCTCTAGGTTTTCCTGTATGATTTGTTGAACAGGCTGTCTTTTCTCATGAGTATATTTTTGGTTTCTTTGTCAAAAGCCAGGTGGCTGTGGTTGTGAGACTTTTGTCTAGGCCCTCTATTCTATTCCGATGACCTTGGAGTTTTTTGTGCACGCCATGCTGTTATATTTACCGTGGCTGTAGTATTAATTTGAAATCATGTGTGCTGACACTTTCCACAATAGTGTTTTTATTTAGGATGACCTTGGGTGTTCACACACAACTTAGAGTTGATCCTTGGCTGATAGAAACAATGTTGCTATTTTTATTTATATTAAGCCAACCTCTTCCACGTGTTTTTTCTTAATTCTTTCTTCAGGACTCATTAGGGTCTATTCCCTTACATATGAGAAAGTATTCTAATACTAGAAGATTATAATCATGGTTCTCTTGTGTCTACAATCTTACATTTTAGTTTTTAAATTCATTGTCATTCAGGGATTTTGTTCATTAGATGCTACAGTTAATCTACAAGTCAGGATGCCCCAAGACGGTCTAGCTAGCACAGAGTGGAAGCACTATCATCCTTCCTTCATACAAACAGAACCAGGGATTCCAATACTATAAACTGGGTCCTTGGGATGACTTCTCTAAACTCTTAGAGCACAGTGAATTTAGGGTCTTCTCACACTCTTGGGGCTTCTACATGAGCTGCAATCTGTTAACCTCCCTCACTTTTTGCTAAAATCAACTCACTGTTCCCATGTGCTCAGTCTTTCTTTGTATTGATTCAGCCATCAAATCAAGAACACACGTTTGTGGCATGTGAGCATACAAGGTCAAACGAGGTCAAGAAAATAGTTTTCTACCCGAGTTAGATGTAAAAAAATTTAAACCAGGCCGGGTGGTGATGGCGCACGCCTTTAATCCTAGCACTCAGGAGGCAGAGCCAGGCAGATCTCTTTGAGTTCAAGGCCAGCCTGGTCTACAGAGCAAGATCCAGGACAGGAACCAAAACTACACAGAGAAACCCTGTCTCAAAACAAACAAACAAAATTTTTAAGCCAACCAGTAAGAGACTTGGGTAGTTCTCCACATGAAATTTATTATAAGATAAAATTGAAGCTGTGATCCTGTGGGAGAAATTATCTATTGCTCACTCACATGCCCTCTCTCTCTATGACAATAGGCTCAGGACCTAAGATTCCCTGCACACCTGAGGAAATATTCACCTTCTAGATTATATCAGAATTTCTGTAGTTCTTTCTCAAAATCTCAGGCGTGGATGGGAGTTTCAAGAGTGCACTGAGTATTGGTGACAGGCACAGATGCATCATCTCTCCTTTCTTCCAGGGGACCTCAGACCTGCACCACCCATGATCCCTGCAGCCCACAAAGGTCAGTAACAGGTATAAGGAGTCCAGAGGAGCCAACAGTGTTCCACTGGTAGATCATCTGATTCTTGAAAGAAGGGCAGTGAGAAAGGAGAGAACCTCTCCTTGTAAATTTCACCAGGATCGGTAGAAAGAGGTGCATACCCAAGGCAGAGTTGCTCCCATGCACCTTGTTGCTTCCCATGGAGACAATAACTCCACCCACTCCTAACCTGAACACCCCAGGAAGAACCCTTCCCCCTGATCAGGTCATTGTCAGACTAGTAACTGGTTTCAGGAAGGTAAAGATATTCTTCAAATGACCTTCCAGAGGAAGGAGGGATCCAGGGGGGACAGATGAAGTAGGTGAAAAGAACAAGAAGTGGGCAGCCAGTGGGAGAGCCCATGGAGGAGCCTTTCTTCTCTCACTGCCAGTCTCATCTTCACCCCTAGATGCTGCTGCCTCACTACACTTCCTGGACCAGCATCGGGAGCAGCTGGTGGCCCGAGTGACATCGGTGGACCCTCTCTTGGACAAGCTGCATGGTGCTGTGCTGAGTGAAGAGGAGTATGAGGCGGTGCGGGCTGAGGCCACCAACCAAGACAAGATGAGGAAGCTCTTCAGCCTCAGTCGGTCCTGGACCAGGGCCTGCAAAGACCGAGTCTACCGAGCTCTGAAGGAGACCCATTCTCACCTGATCATGGACCTCTATGAGAAGTCAGGTGGTGTCTCTGAGGAATCCTGACATCTTAATAGCTGAGGAGTGAGCACTCTCACTTGAGTCCTGGGTCTGCCTGACCTTCCTTTGGCACTTGGTTTCCTCATCTATAAAGGCCACCAGTGTTGCCTTTCAAATGGCAATGTTTCCAGGACACCTCTTAGGGACCCAGATGTTCCCTCCTGGCCTTTGCCAGCCAGATGTTTACATTGGGTGAGCATCTCAGTAAATGTCCAGTGGAGCCAGCAAGTCTATACAGGCCTTGTCCAGCTACTTTATGGTGTGAGTGGCCAGCCTTGAGCCCATCTGACCCCCGATAATTCAAACTGTCCTGGAGAGCATGGGAATGGAGACAAGGAGATGATACTTTTCCCTGAAAAGTGAATGTTATAATGGCATTCCTGCTGAGCTGCACCTGGCCTGGCTCCAGAGAGTAGCACCTAGCCCTAATCCATCTTTTGCTTAGCAGACACCTTTGGTTTCCCTTGTTGCCCTCCATGTGAATCCTGTTTCCCAAGGATAAAAAGGCCTGTGCAAAACATGGTTCAGGAAAACCAGAAAACCATGGTACCCAGAAATCGAGGAATTTGCCCTTGACACTGTATTGTTGGGAGCCCCTTTCAGGTTGTTTTGAGCATATGGAAATTAACTGGCTAAACTGTTTTGGAGAGAAATAAAACTGCCCTAGGCAAAGGGATAGTGCTTTAGTCCTTTGAGGCTGAACCCCCCTGCAGCCATGAAAGGCTAGATTCATTCTTAAGATGCCTCTCAGTCTTCATTTCACAGACCCTCGTAAACCCGCACACCCATGTCATGACCACACAGTTACAGAATATCATATTGAAAGACCCTAACCCTTCAGGCTTACACCCCTCAAGCCCCAGGAGAATGAGGAACTAAAAAGCTAGTTCCAAGGGCAAACTGACTCAGCCATTATTCAACCACCCTTACCACAATGTATGGAGATTTCTGTTAAGATATGTTGCTCAACTGTGATTGGGATAATTGCAAGTGTTCCAGGAAAGACCACTGTAACCTTTGTGTAACCTTCACTCCCACCCTGATACCCCCCAGAGGTTCCGGGGAAAATTGTGCATGTGGACATGATTGTACCTACCCTGTGATTAGGCCATAATCTTGTGAAAGTAGCCCCTAGACATGAACCAATAGGAACAAAATTGCATGGGAATTGCAATCGTATGACTTTTGTGGGTTTTCCTTTTCCTTTAAAAGTACCTATGTGGCTGCAGTACGGTGGGACTCTTGCTCTTGGGAGGAGAGTAGCCGGACTGTACAGCCACATTAATAAACCTCTTGCTGTTTGCATCAACTGGACCGGAGTCTGGGTTCTTGGGGCGCCCACCTGAGAAGGTAGTGCCCTGGGTCTGGGGTCTATCAATATGAATAAGAAAGGTAGGGGGCTTCTCAAACATTTCCCACCCTCAAACACTTTATCCCAAATAATTTCCATATAACTCTGGGTATGTAGATATATAAGTATATAAATCAATGTTTTTACTAAAATTAAATCTTAAAGAAATTTGTTACAAACAACTCTTTGTTGTAATATAATGTTTACCATTTGTTAAAAATGACAGCAAATTTGCAAACTACTGAAATGCCTGTTTTTGTTTATGTTTGGCATAAGGAATTAAATCTTGATGGAATATTTGATACTGTAGACATTGGGAATCTTCAGTGTTTTTCAGAGTTGGTGGATATTTTACATTTCTGGTACTCTTTACACAGATGTGCAGTGCACATTCCAGAAGCTGGTAGAAATTCTATTCTAATCCCAAGCCAAAACTTACTTACAATCTCTTTATATAACTCAAGTCAGCAACTCAAAACACCAACTTGTAAAATGGAATGTTCTCACATAATGCAATTCAAAGATATACTAACTTGATTCTTACATCCTAGATAATGAAAATGGGAATATATTTAAATCTTTACACTCCAAAATTAAGGTATCATGTTTCTATGAGAATAGAAAATCCCATATGTACAGGGAAAATGCTGTAAGCAGAGCCTAGACTCTGAACCCAGGTGTTTCAGGAGCATCATAGGGGTTGTATGGTGCTCAGGCTCAATCAGTGCAAA